ACCTTTGTTAAACTGTAGTTGACTGGCCAAAATGTTATAATGTCTTAAACATTCAACGACACAGATTTAAATATATTTGAGTTAGATTAGATTCCATTAACTTTCATTTCAGTGATATCAAACAATCATGAATAATGTTTTAGAAAAGTGGGATTGTTTTGTATTATACTCAGTATTTACAAACATTTGTTGTGTTTGATAAAATATAGTGAATAGACATTTTTAAACAGTAAAAATAACATTATTCAATATTATAAAATAAGTTTTATTCAAAAATGTAAAGTTTTATTGCACATTGAAATCATCAATCAATCATTGTTAGACCACCATTAGAAACCTGGAAGCACTGGACGGTCGTTTCGTCCTAGTATGGGAATCATCAGCAGTGTGTATCCATTATTCCAGTCTACAGAAAACACTAATCTCCATAACTCTGATTGAAAAGTCGTTAAATATGCTCACTAGTGCCTAGCTTCATCGGGAAATTCTCGGAGTTCTAGTAAGAGGACGAGACCAGTGGAGTTCAACCTTGTCAGGTTTAGGCAGTAACTACCAATAACAAATGGGTGACGTCGCGCAAAATCCCTTGATCAATCAGAGTTAGACATTAACATCGTTGGGTGTTGGCCCAGTAGTCCAGAGGTTAGGTGTTCGCGCGCAAGACCGATGGTCTCGGGTTCAAATTTCGCGAGTTGCTGGAGTCGTGTATGCGCACTGCTAATGAGTTCCATACCAGGACGAAACGGCCATCCATTCCAGGTTTCTAATGGTGGTCTAACAATGTTTGATTGATAATTTCGATGTGCAAAAAACACTAATCTCCATAACTCTAATTAAAAAATCGTAAATAGTTTTAGCAAATTTACTTGGATAAAACTTGAATATTCATGAATAAATCGGAGCATAATGAATAAACACTTTTTTGCACCATCATATTTCATTTATTTCAAACCAAGACTAACAATTTTCCTGATAAATAAACAAAATATATTATTAGTCAGCAACTGAATATGCAACAAAACATTTTTATTGCTTAATAAATGAAACATTGAGAAATGTTTAATAAATTCAGTTTTCTTTTTGTATATATTTATGTTCCCGTCAATCTAGTCTAATTTTTAGCTAAGCAGTAAAATTGTTTTGAATACTTTCTGTAAAAGTAAGTATGGGATTAAAAAGAAATCAAATTTTACTGTTTATTAAATAGAGTTTGAATATCTTTTTGAAACTAATAGTTAGAATATAATTTAATCAATTGATAGTAAATTCGCTATTCATGCAGTCAATGAAGGCTAATTTCTATTCCCTGAATTCCATGTAGATTCGGGGGTGATTATGAACAACCTTTAAAGGTGTAAGTTATCAAGTGAATTGTCTGTTTTACTGATTACTACACACCTAATCTTCGATTTCTTACATAATGACATTTCACAACTAAGTATGGAAAAATATTAATAGGAAGAAATATTTTGGGATGATGGAAATTATCGGAAGCCTAATTCGATATATTTAGTGTCCATAAGTCCTCCGGGTTAAATGGTTTAATTGTAGAGTTTTCACTGTTTTTCTAGATAATAATTAACACTTACTTCATGTATAAGTGAGCTACTTAATTACTCGCCGGGCGTAAGATTGCTATTCTGATGGCTTTGTTAGTGATTTGTTGTGTTCTCAAGTTTCATTGTTTCTCTATTTGTTTTTGTCTTCCAGTTGATTGTTTTATTACGTCGACCTCTGGCTATGTTATTCACTGATGTTTATCAAATGGTTTGTCAGCAACAATAGTTTACAAACACATGAACATGATTTAAGTTGATTACTTCAAAACACAGTGATCCATCTACTAGAGTTGTTTAGTTATGCATAGTAATTACAAAACAAAATATGAAATAAAGAAAGTCTACTTATCAACCTCAATCCAAAATGTATTAATATGTAGCCAAGCTGCTTGTGGTGCAATGAAAATTATTCTATCTAATACTTGAAAAACTTAATGGAACCAAGTTTATCAAAATAACTGTACTGGTAGATCATTTTTTACATTGGATTTCAAGTTAGTCACCTTTGGTAGCTCGTAACTGATTAATAATTCAAAGCTGCAGCATACAGACATCAAACAAAGAAGAGATTTTCAAAAGAACGTGCGGATGTATAAAATGATTAGAATGACCAATTCACCATATGGATTGTTACTATAAGTGAAGTTTAGTTTTAGAATAAGAATTAAGGCCAATACATAAAGATGGATTAATTAAATATCAAAAACCAGCTATCTTTCGAACGTGTACAATCATGTTCTGCTTAAACGTTTCAAATCGATTTAAATATTTATCTTATTGAATGTTCACACTAAATTTCACTTTTTGTTATCAAGAATTGATTTTAAAAAAAAGTCGAATAATAATGTTAATCAAAGCTAGTTACGCTGTGATCACGAGATCTAATGTTTTGATAGATGGATATTTATACACGTGACCATAAGTTTTAATTACATAATGTTATTTCTTTAGTTTTGGCACTTCACTGATGGTATCATTTCTATTAAGGTAAATATGCGCATGATTTTCACCGAACATTTTTACTTAAATTATGATCAAAATCTAATTATTCCATCTTCAATTTTGAACACTTTATAGCAAGTGACATGTTTTCAAGTAAATTCACATGCAAATATTTGAATCAGTCTATGAACTATCAGTAAATATTTATTCATAATTTTTCCCGTTATATGTTCTTATCGTTTATATTACTAATTTTTTTATATAATATTACAAAATAACTAGCTTGCTCGTTGAGAAAATTGAATTTGAATTCCTTATGTATTTAATTTCGAGCATTTTTATATCTTTCATAAGCGGATTATTTTTGCATATGCATACAAATGAAGTCTATCATATAAAGAACCAACTTTTAAAACTTGGCATTTAACCGCTATATCAATCAGGACTAATCATCGTGTTGTATGATTTGTCAAACATAAACTACATAATGATGTAAGATATTTCCTTTAAAAACGGAACTCATTTTCCATAGTGAAATTCATTGCTGATTGTATATAAATAAATTAATTTTATCCAATAAATGTCATACACATGATTAGACTCTAAATATCAAAACTATTTTTCATTAGAAGTCAAACTTTCGTTAAATATTTGAGTGACAGTTCGAAGACATAGGTGTATGTAAACGAATACAGTTTCAAATAAGCGCTGATATTTGACTGGAAAGAAATTACATGGAAATGTCTGTTTGCTTTTTTTCGAAAATAATCTAATGTTAGTTTCAGATAACAAGTAAATCAGATATTATTTTTAACTAATTTATGATTCTATTGTGGTTTGAATGTTCAGATGACTGGGGATTCCACAGATATAAGAATCAGTATTCATCAATTTCTGGTTAAGAACTTAAAAGTTATGTTAGTTGATAACGGTGTTGAACGTCTTATTGATTTCCTTACAAATTGTGTGGGTGGTGTTTCGTTCTCTGAGCTGGGTGTTTTGGTTGTGGAGCTTTCATTGTTCTTCTGAACAGCATCATCAGCACAAACTTCAGATAGAAGTGATGTATTCGAATTTCTCCACGTTTGACTTATAGCTTGTTCTGCTAACCTCGGTCTTGATTGGTTGCTGTTGACCTTAAACACCCAGTTCAAAGAACCAAACACCACCACCACAACCATCCACCTGAGCTAAAAATCTTCTCCACCATTTCTTACAAATTACTTCAAATAACATGAAGCAAACTCTTTAAAAATAGTTGTACTCCAGTTATTTTCTTTTAGAAGGTAATGCAAGTAGTCACCATAATCAAATTCCGGTTTTTAATAATTTCTAATTATTAATATATGCTTTGCATAATAAAACTTATTCAGTCGTTCAACACCGTTGGATGACGGCTCAATGTTCCAGAGGTTGAGCTTTGACTAACAAGACCGAAGGTCCTAAGTTCGAATGCTGCGAGTAGCGGGAGTCGTGGTGACACTACTGATGAGTCCCAAACAAAGAGGAAAAGGCCGTTCAGTGCTTCTAGGTGTTCTGATATTGGCATATTAATGAGTGATTCATGATTTTAATTTAAAACAACAATCTTCATTTTCTATAATGAAAATTAGCAAGAGAATCCTGAATATCACAAAACAACAGTGTAATAAAACATTCAATTACTAGACACAATATCTAAATTGAAAATGATTTTATCTCATTTTAAGTTAGTAATGTAAGATTACACTTTCAAAACAATTTTATGATTAATCTACTCTAAAATTTAATCTGTCTTCATCAATTGGTTAAGTGTTGAAAATTGTATATATTTTTACCAAATTGTTCACAGATTAGTAAACATGAACGTTTTTTCCGGGAATGAAAAAGTACCTACCCTTCGATAAATTAACTCCGGAAAAAAACAAACATTACTATGAGTTGTAAAAAAAAACTTATTACACACTGAACTACTTCAAATGTGAATTCATTTACAGATTAGTGTGCATGAGGTGTATGAAAAAAATATAATTTCGATTTAACACTTTTATGTTGATTTTATCTTTAGACAACCAATTTTGAGTTAACTATTACACTCTTTACATTTTACACTTTTATTACCTTTTATCCACGGTGTTTCTTATTTTCAAAATTGACGAAAAAAAAACAATCGCAAATCACAATAAAACTTTTTATCACCATTTTACTATGCAAAAGAAGAGGGGGTGGGTAAATTACTAGTAATCATAAAAACCTTTTTCTTTTTAATACAACTAACTATTTTTGGGTACCAAAATGAATATTGTGAATTTATGATTTTAGATTTGGATAGTCTATTGAAAAAAAACTAGTTGGGGTAAAAATCTTGTGCATTCACATATTACAACAGTTGTGTGTGTGTGTGCAACATGTCCGATATGCTGTGAAATGACTGGTTAAATAAAAATTAGTCTGTTTGTGCTTTAATGTGCAAAACTTCATGGGGTAACTATACCGTTGTTGTCAGTTATGTTTCGTTTTATTTTATTTTATTTTTCAAAGGTATTCCATCTTCACATAGTATTTAGTATGTATGTACTACTACTACTAGTGCATGTATACATGTGAAATGAAATCAAAAAACACATGGTGACCAATGTCCATCTCATTGCATTAGTAACCACATTAGTTAAATAGGCCAAATTACAATATTCTTTCTAGATAAATCAACGTTGAGTGATCAGGAGCAAAAAAGTTCTCCACACACACACACACAACTGTATACTCAAACTTAAGTGAATTTTAGATTTTTTTGGAATATGAATGTAATTTCTTAAGATATAGGATATTTGAAAATGGTTATTGAGTTGGTTAATGCATATGATTGTTAGAATACACAATAAACATAAACTTATTTCATTTGGATCTTTTCATGTAACTTATTCTGTGAAAAAGAAAGGAATTAAAGTTTTCAAAAACAATTACAATTAAATTATCCAATGAATTCATTGTCTAATCAAAAATATTTATTCATAAATATGATCTTCATTTTACTTTTGAATGAGTTATCATTCATTTTCGGTTTAAATGAACATGTTCAAGAGCCAAGTACAAGTAAGTTTATTGAATGAATATTAATCGTTCTTTTGCTCACTCAAAATTATTACTAAAGACTACGCATTTGATTATTTTCTTGAGTAACTAGTTTAACTGTTGGCTTTTTTGAAAGTTAATTCATTGAATTGTTTTATTTCACATTGTTTAATGTTTCAATAAAGTGTATTTATCAATAGGTTAGGCTTGATTTATGTGAAGAGTGAAATAACTATTTATTTAATATGACTTGGGGAAAAATGAGCAAGAGTGATTTAAAGAGGAAGCTTTGTTGATGCTTTACGACTTTACTTCATAGTAAATACGTTTAGATTTTGTTATCATATCTCTCAAAAGATTGCTTTTATATCGGTCCAGAAATTAGGTATTTAAATAAAGAAGTTGATTATTTGTTTGAAAATTAGATACACTGTGAACGTACTTATTTTATTCAGCAAAATAAGAAAAAACATTGTCACTCTCTTTACATCTTACGTTTTTGACATTAAAAGCTGCAGATTCATTGAAAGAACCTAAAGTGCCCTTTATAAACTGAGTTTGATGTTTGAAATTTACTGTTAACTTTGTATAGCGTTTAATTGTTATCTTTGGATTTTTGGAATCGATTTCTCTGTTCCCTGATAAAGTACCTGATGTTTATTTCAGTGAACCCAACTTGTGTTCGTTGGTGCGAATTTTCATTTCATGTATACTATCATTCTCATGGTTATAACATGGTATCCTTTCTTGATTGCTGGAAGCTTAAATAGAATTACAGTGAAATAGTAAAGAGTGATCATTTTTGAAACATGTTCCTTCGTAATCAATCACATGAGTGACAATTTATGGCACTTTACCACATTGCATTCAAAGTATGGAATGTTTTGTATCATAAAAGGATACTGTGATTATCTTTCAATACATTGTATAGAATGATAATTTCACTTTTAATCAACTTTAGAAAATACAGGAAAATTCAGTAGAATTTTCCAATAATGTGTGATCTCTTAAACTGTATAACCCTTACCCAAAAATATATAAATTCTTCTTATAGTTTAAAATTTGGGTGGTTTAGTGAATATTATCTAAATGTTAATCAGGTGTTTTTAATGAACTGCTTGTAAAAAATTATCATTAATCGGATTCTATTACCATTAGTGAAGTTTTATAGAAGCTGAAAACATGTTTTGTATAGTAGCGTCAGTCAATTAAGATTTTAAAACTATGAATACACATGCACTTTCAGATATTTATCAACAAAAAATAGTTTTGTAACATTTCAGTCACGGTTTTTGTTATTAAAATATACGCAATTTACTGAAATAAAAACTATCGTAACCTATTTCGCTTTTTCAGAATGATACCTTGTTCACAATGCACAACTTTTCTACATTATACTAATTAGGAACTACTTATTAGTTTAAGGTAGTTTTCAGTATAAACTATCTGATCATACGTAGAGATGCACACTACCGATCATATTAATTTTACAAAAAAACTACACTATAAAAAAGCTAAAGAATTGTGAAACCTATGCATATTATTAATAAACCAACTATTTGTAGTTTTACTTGACGTTTTGCACTAACAACTAACAGGTCTATTGAAAAAGTTGTTTCATCTCACTCTTCTGCTTGTTTTCAGTTTTAAACAAAGAATGTGAAAATGATGATCCATTAGGCATGATATCGGGATCAATTGCTGACTGGCAAATAACTTCATCTTCAACTTATCCATCTAGTTGGGTTAAAGGATGTGAAGAGAAAAATGCTCGTTTATTTCGGACAAATGGTTTAGCTTGGTGTGCAAAATTCAAATCCTCTTCGGAATGGCTTCAAATTGATTTAGGTGTACAAGCACTGGTAAGTGAATATTTTGTATTGGAAATGTAAACATGACTATTTTTTTAATGTTAAGGCAATAATAATTATTTATAATTTTAATAAAAAGATGGTTACGTTAGATAGTTGATTATCTCAGAATTATTTAAAAAACTAAATTACAATGAGCAAATATTTTAAATAAGGAATCTATTAAACCTTCATGTTTTCCATACACGCTTATTCTTTCACAACTTATTCTGACTATAAATCTTGAATTCAGATACTCAAAGTTTACACTTGGAATTCATGATGTGTTGATGAACTATTCATCTAGCAAGGTTAACTTATTTGAAACTGTCAGTCAATAAAATATGAGTGCATTTCATGGTGTAAAATATCTAAACATTTTAAATTATTCTCAGTGAATTACTGTATAACTAATTAATTTGCCTTAAAAAAAACGGGACTTGGTAAAATTTACTATTTGATTCACCTCAACTAATATAAATGATAGTTTCAGACGTCGATTTCATAAACATTATTTTGAGTCATTTTTAGATGAACAGTTTATATCATCTTATGATAAAATTAAGAATGAATAATACGGAAAAACAGAACGTTATTTTGAGGAGTTAAAATAACTTTACGCTGCTAAATTATTCGATTGGAAGGCATGTAGAGATCATTTTAGATTAACGTTGGTTGTTGCTAGTGGTACCAGTCGAAAGTCTTTCAGGAAAGAGAAAAAAATGAACATATATTTCCTAGCATGAGACTCTAGCACGATTTGGCAGACATTCGAACTTAAGGCGTTCTGGTGACGCATCGAGTAAGTCACTGCTGAACATCTACTTCTAAATTCAGTGCTGTTTTTTGCGATTTCAGTTAACCTAAACTGTTTATAAATAGAGGTATCACTCTTGGATAAAGGACACAAACTGCTGATTATTACTGTACCTGAATAAAACAGTTGTTCGGTTTTTTATATGGTTTTGAAACATCTGATTCCTTCTACACTATTTATCGGATAGATTGACTGTTCAATAACTGACGTTTCTATTTTATAGCTTAATACCACTTTCTTTATTTTCCATGTTAAGCTATTTTGAAGTATGCTATACTATTATGCCATAAGACCTTAAAATATTTTTTTCATTTAAATCTTACTTTAAATTATGAATAAAATATCTGTTTCTTTCTTGTAAACTTCTTTCATCATTTCAGCTGTAAATGCCTTTTAGACGCTCTATAAAAATGTGATAAAGTAGTCGATAACAATGACTAACATTCCCAAAAAATTTTAAATTGATTATCCTAAGAAAATCAAAAATTAAAATACGATGCCTGTAATTCATTATTTCCATAGTAATTAGCCAATCTCTCTATTTCATTATCTTTACAGGTGGCGTTATTATTCTATCTATAGTCATAAATATAATTATTTTTTCACTTACTATATAGTATATCCATTTAATTTTTTTTTAACCTAAATTATGAACTGGGTATGGTCTAATGATGTACTACATTCTGATAATTTGAAATAACTAAAATTATAATAAAATGTAGTTAATAGTAACAGCCTTTTACAATTACATTTCTAATATGATACCGAATATCAGATGCATTTGAGAAAATTTGCTTTGCAAAAAAAGTGTAGATTAAAATTGATGGATGAAGTAGCTAACTTCATAACTCAAGGATATTCATTTCTTTTTAGTCAAATCTAATGACAACTGCCATTACTTATCTGCTTTTCTACAGTACAGAATTCAAGTAATATAACATTGTTCATCTTTGGAAAAAATTCATCATAATTATCATCAAGAAAAAATATCAATTTTAATACACATTTTTTATGACTATTTTTTTATCTCTCATTCTTTCTTTCTTTTTCTCTCCTAAAAGCCTTTCTTTTTATTTCACAAAGTGCAAATCAATTAACTGAACCATCAACTTTATTATGCTAACTCTGAAAAAAAATTGAATAATGAACAAAAACCCTGATCATTATCATCATTATAACTTTAAAACAGTATGAAACTCAATTTAATTTATATTTTAAATATGCAACTATGTATCACTTAAGCTTCATGCTTATTATTGATGAACATTCGTCTACTTTCATATATATATATATATTATGAAAAAGAATCCATAAATTAGACTTGATTTCATTTATTAAATGATACAATAGAAGATCATTATTTCATAGTTTCCTATTTCGTCTTTTTTTTCTTCTTCTTTTCACAAACTACCAATGTGATCAGATTTTTGTGTCGTTTTTTTTCCTTTTTCAGCACTAATAATAATCATAATAATAGCAGCTTGTATCTTTGTTAATTTCATCTGAAAATGTTAATTGCACTAGTTTGTTATTACACTTATAAACCACAATTTTACCAAAAATATCAACAAACAAACCAGCCTTTTGGATGAGATGATAATTTTTCATGTATTTTAAAATTTTAGTAAATCATTTTAAATTTATTATTACTAATTTTTTTTCTGAAGATGAAAAAAAAATAACAACTATAAAGTTTTGTCTTGGCAAATATTTATCAATATATATGTATATGTATATATCTTTTTTGCTTACAATATTTTGATGATTGACTAAAAGTTCATTTTATCGATAGTAATAAACTTGCTTTTCTTTTATTATTATTATTATTATTATTATTATTATTATTGATCAGAGAAAAGATGCTACTTGTCTAATATTCTATGCATTATTTTACAAGGTTTTTTTTCGGCTTACTCCATATATATATATATATATATATATATATATATATATTGTTTTGAAAAATTTTGAAAAATAATGTCATTTACTGGCCGACTAATGCAATAACACACATTTACACATATAGATCATGTAATAGTAATATTGTAACAAAAGCCGACAGAAATATATTTATATATTTTTTTATCTAAATTTAAAATGTTGATTGTTCACCGGAAATTCAAGCTATTTGAATACTGGTGAAGCTACTATTAATCGTCATTATATTTGCAAAGAAGGTAGTTTTTTTTAAGTGATATGAAAATAGTTTAGAGATAGATATTCCTTCGAAATTTTGAATTTGCTGAATATCTGAGGAAGACTTTTATATCTAATAGCAATTATGAATCAACAAATAGAAAGAAAGAAAGAAAGTGGAATAGGTAATGAATCTCATACTTATTACTTTCTGTTCTAATCAACCTGACCCAGTTTTCCAGGTAAATCGATCATTCGAGCAAAATGCATCAAAATGATTCATTCTCATGCAATAAATGTCGCACTTGTACTCACCTATTCACATACACATGTATGCACAGAAATGTGACTCGTATTATCGCTTCAAAATTATGTTACATGATATAAAGTTAGTCAAATTTGTTGTTACTTATCAAGTATAGGACTTGTTTCTTGTACCATTGAGGCTTGTAATAAATTGAAGTAGAGTTTCGCTCTTCGGAGGAGCAACATATGCTGAAACTTTAGAAATTCAAAGCTCTTTTAATTTTAATTTCTAAAGTTAAATCTTTAAATTGAAGCTTATCGTCGTCTTAAATAATTAAGTGTTACGTGAAAATTACACACCACGATGATGACATTGACACAGTCAATCGAATAATTTTGTTCTCTGTATCTTGTGAATTTAAAATCAATCAGTTGATTTGATCCAAGTAATGAAGTTGAATAGTAGTGTTAATAGTTTAAAGTTTCAAGTAGCAAAATACCTGAGAAACACTGAATTTGTTGTTGTTCGATGCTCAATATAAGACAGAAATAATCTCTATTCACCATAAATTTCTTCTGAAATCTAAACGTTTACTATTGTCAACCAAAACAGCTAGTTAGTACACTGGATATGTAAAATTCATTTTTTGTAATTACTGGCATTTATTACAAATCATATTTATGTACGTAACATAATTTATCTTGGTTTTTAGGTTTTGCATTTCTCTGTACATTTGGCGAAAATGGTGTTTAATGACACTATTATTGCTAACATAAGATGAAATGAGTTATGATCAAACGTATATTCTTTAGGCCTTACACACATAAAAAGAATTAATAGTTATCAGATCAGTGATTTGTTAGTCTTCTTTGTTATTTACTGGGAGACAACATTGACAGCAATAATTTTACGTGTTTATGCCAGGAAATCGTCTTTACGATAAGCAAGAATATTTAAAAAGACTTAGGTATGCAAAACATCAGCCTTACAAGTTGCCTCTCTTAAATTATGGATATCTTGGTGTAGACAATTTGCAATATGGTTTGGCTTATACAGTAATGAATAAACATTTTTTAGAAATCTAATAAACTGACATTACCAAATATTCGGTTATTCTTCCATGAGTTAGTGCTTAGTTTAAAACTAAAATTTAATTTTCATGCACAGGAAATTAATGAAATACACTATGTATTGTTATCAATATTACATTCCATATTTGTCAGCTGTTTGGGCGCCTACGTTATTATTAAATTTATATATATATTATCTTTATGCAGCTGAAAAATGCGTGTATTTTCCTAGTAAAGTAAACGACCCAAATGTTAGATGTGTTGTTAATTTATATGAATGAAATGGACTAAAACAGAAACATGAATAGTCAACGATCTAGTAGTACAATTAAATAAAACCTAGCGTTGGAGAAACATGACTGTTCAGAAAAGAAAACATTTTTTGAACAAATTATATTATTATTATCGTGAACATGAAATGAGAATAATATCATATAAATAAGCATAGTTTAATTCCTGTTGATAGACTACAATTAAAATTACTGAATTTAATTACGAAACTGAATTAATTGTTCTGTTAGTCGGAAAATTGATTCATATCTCGCTCTACTTCATTTATTATAAACATAAGTACTTATAGTAACTGATTTCCTGTAAGCACATTTGTTCAATTAATATATGTTGAATTTCATCCTGGATTCCATTGCTAGCCTTTATCTATCTCTGTTTGTAAACAAACATGTATAAGAGATATGACAGCATCAATCTGAGATAATAACAATAAAGGGTATTAGTTGTTTCGTCTTAGATAATTTTTGAACTAGATATACTTAAATTTGAGTGAGCAAATACATGTTTAATATACCACTATAAATATTATGACTGTGACTATCTTTCAACAAGGAAATAATACCGCGAACAATTTATTTTTTTCATGATGCAACACATCCGTGATACATTTTAATTCGTACAACTAAATATTATTTAAGCATTAATTGACTCTCTTTCTCAGTTGACTATGTATTGCAGAAGAACATTACTAATAAATTTATGTATGACCTTAGTTCACTTAAAAAACTACCTACATATATTTCAAAATCAAAAGAAAACCAATTGTAGCATAATTCCAAGTTTTATTTCAATTTCTACGGCTTTATGGAATCGTTGTGCGAAACAATAAACTTTAGTTTCTAACGACGTACATTTATTGGGCTTTTTCTGTCATTGTAGAATAAAACGGGTAATTTTTCCCACACAAATCGGCTCACCAATAAAAGTTCTGTATGAGGCAAAAGCGATAACTTAAATGCACCATGATTCCAGGCTATGATATTATAACTACTATTAATATTTCAAATGAATATCTAACAGTTTTAAGAAATATCAAACAAAATACTAAGATTTTTCTTAAAAAATATACTAAACTTAAATATGGCATACGTTTCTATTAGCTAGTATTTTATCGTAAAGTTCCAGTAACACCAGTAAATAACCCTATTTAAAAATTAAAACTAGTAATAATAACGAGGAAAACATAGTTTTACATAATTCTATTAATTAACGTTTAATTATAATATACCGGATGTTGCAGATGATAACAGGTATGTTAAACTTATAAAATTCTTTCAACCATAAATTATAAACTAATTACTTTGCTGTTTTACTGAAGACAAAAATTTTCAAATTCTATTTTCTATCGTATAGTTTGGCTTAAACATTTTACATTGAACGACAGTTTTCCCGTACCACAGAGAAACTGTTAAAATAATTGTTTTATTTGTTGTGCATAGGTGACAGGTATTATGACTCAAGGTCGAGGTGATGGTTCAGAATGGGTGACTTCATTCATGGTATCTTACAGTGATGATGCTATGCACTGGAAATTTGTCACCGATCAATATGCTAATCAAAAAGTAAGTTACCATTTAGATTTCCTCATATATATATATATATATATATATATATATATATATATATATATATATATATATATATTTCAAGTAACTTTTTCTTGATAAAGTATCACATTCTTACATGATCTATTATTAAATGTACAAGTAACAATGTGCTGAGAAACAAAACTACAACTACAAATTGTTCGCTTGATATATATTTTTGATAGCTGAACATTCTTAAATTATACTAGTGAGTTGAAGCACTTACTACATATTGATAACGGATTTATTTATGAAGATTTTGAAGTGTAGCCGCGTAAACGATAAGCTAGAACTGTACATGCATAAGATGGAACGACATTTATTTAACGTATATATATATATTAATAACAACTGTTATTAGTGATTTTATATAATCTGACTGAAATTCAGGTGATTATCATAATTTTTACTGACCGCTGGTTTCTAGTGATTTAGTTTGAAAAATTCTATCTGTCCTTTGAAACATTTTCCTAATAAACGTTTTTTTGGACAACATTGTCAATGGTGTCTATCAAGGGTACCTAGCTTTAATTATGTAACAGTGTTATTTTTACCACACAGTCAGTGTATGTTAGTAGTTTTTTTCAATAAGCTTATGAGTAATTGATAAAAATCTGTGAATTCATATTGTTTTAATTAATGGATTATTCTTACCTTATTCAAACATGTTGTAGAATAACCAGTATACTACACACAAATAAATAAATAAATATTTATCTACGTGTAATTCAATTTGTTACCAGGTAATAAATATTTATTAAACGGAACTAAATAAGTTTTACATGAATTTTACTCAACAATAGGTATTAACATTATTATTCGGCGCCATGTTTTTTTTATATTCGATTGTGATTAATGCTTTTCAGCGAGAGTTCTCTCTTAAATATCTATTGCTAGCTAAAGCTATACAATTATTGAGGTTATTTTTCTCTCACAGAAATTATTGAACCATTCAGAATAACACAACATTGTACAAAGAAATTAATTTTTATTGTTGTTACAAATTAGAATAAGGTATAAGGCGAGAAAATGGTAGTTTTCTAACAAGTCATAACGGATAGATTTTTGTTTTCTGCTGAAACATGTGTTATGCACAAATCAGTCGTCAAAGTAACACTTGTACTCATACATGCACTTACGTCTGAACTAATTGGTTTTTTTTGTTGGAAATATTTGTACTGGTAATTGTGATCGAATGTAAGCTAGTGTTAAAGATCATAAAGGTAGCGAAACAATTTATCGTTGTATTGTGTTGTTTGTGCTAAATAGGTTTTTGATTTTTTTATTGGCCTATTACTCCTTTTTGTTGGTATCTTGATTTTTTTTTCTTAATAAAAAAATATTCTCATTATTTGTATTGCTCCATACCGAAATACCTATTGAAATGTTATCTACAGATGTGACAAATTAGATTTTTCTAATAAATTGCATGTCTACACGAAAATATTTAGCTAACATTACACAAAGGATAATATCTGTTTGAAATCTAGTCACATTTATGTAATGTCATACAACTTAAATAAATGCATAGGTAACATTAAGAGAATCTAACATTTTAGTACCATGTTGATCTGTGAACCGTTATAAAGATTATGAATAGGTAGATTTACAAAACATAAATGTGTTTGAAATATGAATGTTGTAGAACTAGAAACATGGAAAGTTGAAGTGCGTATCAATCTGAAATGATTCACAAACATTTTAAGAATTTTGTGCGTATTATAGACCGAATGAATGCAGTCACTGCTTCATTTCTCGTCCTTAACTTATTCAAATTCACAAAGTGAGTAAATTAAAACGAGTATATAATGAGCGAACCCGACCGTAGCTTCTACCTCGACGCGGTGGTCGGGCTTGACTATCGTGATGACCCAACCGAGCTATATTGGCTGGCATATATGTTCCTGTAGTTTCTACCAGACTAGGCAGGCCGATAGGAGAACAGTAAGACTAAAAGCATTTACTCAAGGTCTGACGGCGAAGTCGAACTGCTGGTGCAGAGGGTTGTGACAGCAGTAAGATGTTTCCCTCGAACAACCAGCATCTGAAGTGATGCTACCTTCTCACAAGGAGGGAAGGGTTAGAAAAGGTCGACCCTGAAAATGTCATACCTCACCATACCCCAAGGATTTCCGTCTCCTTGGGTAAGGGTGCCCACTAAGGGCCTTTAAGAGCGGAGCTAATACTCCAAAAACCTTTCATAATAAGGCCGTGCGTGACCGGCCTCAAGCAGTTGTCCGTTGGGCTCTGCGGTCACGCTCCCAGGTCATTACGACCGACACTAATCTACCTTCCTTTTTAGGTTCCTCAAGAAACACCCTTCCACGGTGTGGGCACCTGGGAAGTGACAACCGCCTTCCTACTCGTAACAGCATATTACACTCAAACGATATCATCATGAATTATGTTTCAATGGTTATTAAGAAGTGACTAGCTGATGTTAAATTTGAATAAAGCAAGGACTAGAATTGAAGCAGAGTACTATGAATTAATGATACTTTGCAGATATTGTTTTGCCAGTGATTGCATTCCTTCAGTAAGAAACACGCACAAAATTCTTAGGGTATTCATGAATCATATTGGATCGATTCACACTTCACTCTTCCATGTATCAAGTTCTAAACCTTTCGTTCTTGTTTCACCCACCTTTATGTTTATACTCTTTAGGATCTGAGCTTTTGAACCAAATTTATTTTAAATACTAACCTACGATCATTTAAAAAGAATTTACAAATTCATCTGTTTATATCCTAACGTAAGCTAAACAATTTGTCTAATGTCATTCATACTACTGAGATCATTTTTATAGTTAGCTATTTATTGGTTTCGTTGGTCGTCCATACAACATATATTAGGTGGAATAGTTAAAAAGAAGATTTCAAAAATTATTAAAAAGATATTATAACTTCGTACAATAATTCTCTTTCGAAACAATAAAAAAATGACGTGGTAAAAAGACTACCAGAAAATATGCGTTATTCGTTAGAAATATAAATAGCACAGTATTTTTTCAGCAGTTTCAGTGTGTAATTTCTGTCGAGATGTTTATTATGTGTTACACTGCTTGCATTTATTGTCTACCAGGCATAAAATAAAATTGTTTCGTTTGTGAATGTATTTTTTTCGGCCCATAACTAAAACTGAATGTACATGAATAGAGTTGCGTAGTACTGTATACTATTAAATATATATATATATATATATATATATATATACGTATTGTGATCACTACATATTGATCTTTCACCTTCAAGATATTTGCAGTTTGATATGAAAATAGGCTTACGATAGTAATCACGTATTCCGGAATAATTCTTTTAAAATACATGCTTGATAGTATCGATTTTAAAAATAGGTTCCTTCTCATCGCATACATTGAATGTACAAAAGTTTAAGTTGGATATCAGAGAAATAAATTTCATACAACCTTTTCGTCTTATTTACAATGTCAAGTGATTTGTCTCGATGATGACTATATCAATGTGATTGGAATTCAATAAATTTTAATGACTACAATTTCATTGAAATTGATAGCTAAGAGTAAAGATCGGTTTTCCTATTGAGTTTCGATTGGTATGGTTTGATTAATAACAAGATATTTTCTTACACTATTTCTAAATTTTCTGGTAAGAAAAAATTAGTTTGATTTACCAACAATATCTTCAAGTTTAGAAAATAAGAATTTGCCATTAAGACGCTCATTTATGATGAACAACTATTTGCGGGTAACTACATCTTCAGTCTTTTTTATTCATTGAAATTGGACCACTTTTCTCAATCGGTGTATAAGATTACTCTGCCAGTTAGTTAGAATGAGACTTTTTGAAATACTTATTATCACTGATGATTAGTAATTGTGATTTAAACAACTGTTTAAATCAAAATCAACAGTTAGTAAACTCTTAAAAGAAACGCCGACACTGAATAGACACTTCATCACCCTGCAGCAAAACACTTGAAATTGTAAACACAGGACATTGGGATGTTTTTGCTTAATAAACATGAAAATCTGCAAAAATGTCACTATTCACAACATTAAATTATTTGAAAAGACTGACAGTTAGCTTATGTATTTAGTATGTGTCAAGCAACGAAAGAAAGAAATCCAACACGTCATAAATAATGCGTTATTATTCACAATTACATTAACGACATGAATGACAAAATGAATTGAACAATATCAAGGGTTAATTGAGTAAAGAAAATTAAAATGAATGCTTAATTGTACTGAACTGGAAACGGAGATGATGAGATTGAATTTAGGATTATTGAATCACAAATGTTAGTAAACGTAACTAAACATAGATTTTTATTCTCTTTTGTACTAAATTAAATTACTGTTTAAACGTAATGCTGAAACGTTTTGTAGATTTTGAATTTCATTCTGAATTCATTTATTAGTTCATATCAATTTTATGAAACGTTTTAACAGACTAATGGTATCCTGTGATTTAGTGTACTTGAGAGTCATTAAATCCTTATCAGACACGTTTTATTTGGTACACATTTTTCATTAATGAAAAAAAATGATAGCTTTCTAATAAAATGAAATAATCTTTTTGATAAAATTTCAGTGGTTATTTTCATCGGTGTTTAAACATTAAAACTGTATTCATTTGATGGTTGTTGTGAGGAGCATTTAAAAAAAACACTTGAAATTCATATTTTGTTTCAAGTACTAATTTTCTTTCACTTAAATTTCAATTATTTTCTGTTACTTTATCCCTTTTAACTTGATAAATAAAATTATGATCAAGTTATGTGAGTTGTGTTCATCATCTATCTGTTAATGTCATCACGTTCATGAATTCTTAACATTTTCGAAATGACAAAACTATTATTTCTTATAATAGTTGTTCATATGAATGATCTGATCTGTACTTGTATTGATGAACTTATTTACCACACGTTATGAATTATTTCACATTACTGAATTGATATGTAGGCGGTCAAATATACTGTATCAGCACTGATTTGAGCAGTAATCGATCTACCAAATTGATTAACAAGCAAATAAATCATGTTTTTATTTCAGTTTTAGCATATGATCAATTTCATGATTACTTTTCATAATTCTAATCGACTTTAATCAATAGTAAGCCAAACACAAAGTGGATCTGCATTGAAACCATCCTATAAGGGTGCTTGATATATTAGATAAAAATTATAATTCAATTCATTTCAAAGTTGTTGCCCAGATTTTAGCGACCAAATCAGATATGTCATTTTTGCCCTTCATGAAACGCTCTGTAACTAGAAATTTACGTGAAACATTTTTGCAGGTAGAGATACCGATTTTCCTGTGAATGTTTACAAATTTTCATCTGTTCTACTCTCCATAAAGAATTCTCATGACTTAAATTATGCTTATATCTTAGGTAGACAACCACTGAAACTTATAACCACTGAGCAACTGTTTCATACTAGCTTTTTTAATAGTTTTCGTTGAATATCACTTCAAAGTGGTGGTTGGACACTTTTTTTCTTAATTAGCTTAGACTTTACGTTTCGTGATCTTTTTTTCTAGATTTTTGAAGGAAATTCAGATTCCTATTCAGTGAAACATAATTATTTTGATGAACCGATTAGAGCGAGATATGTTAAAATTCATACATACACATGGCATAATCATCCAAGTCTTCGAGTTGAATTGATTGGTTGTCAAAGTAAGTGAACAATTTGATTTTTCTATTATTGTTATAATTCGATTATTAGGTTTTTGTTATTCAGTCTTTCAATCGTGTTTTTTTAATCTGCCTAAATGTTACGTTATAGAACAAACAAAGATGACCATGAGCATTTTGTTCAGAAATGAAATGTTATCATCTAATTTATTGATCTGTTTAGACATTCTTAGACAAACATATTAACACAGAGATAAAAGTTGTCGAATCATTCATGAAAGCAGCAAAATAAAAAGCAGTTAATGATAGATAAAAAAAAGTGACAGACGATTTAATAAAATTAGGTTACTATGGTGTACTTGTAATATATGACATTGATAAAGAGAATCTATTGAGCGGTTTGAGAAGATTAATGCAGATTCATTTTGTTAATTTTGACTGTTTCGGTATACTTTAAATATGAATGTCACGATCTGTAGCACAGTTTTTAACTGTTAGTCAAGAGAAAATGTCCATGATAAGAATATTTTTCGGCAATTTTCCTCGCAACCCATCGTTAAGTATAAGTATGATGAAAATGCTTGTAAAGTGGACTTAAAGAAATAATGTTATATCGTAAGCATACAAAATGTGCTTATTACCAAAGTACTTACAGATACATTACGAAGCGTATTTTACTAAATTTATTGGCTATCACTGTGATAACAGCTAGTAATTTTTGACAGTTGCTTTCTCATAAATGGAATAATAATAATAACTGATTACAGTTTCTCGGACAACAGGGGGGATAATGTTTAGTTCCTAAATGTTATGTGTAACAACTACTTATACTGAATACAGTATATTCGACAATTTATATGCCACTTCGGAATGTGCGTGTGCTCATTTAGAAAGTGCGCTTTTCTGCACACTTCAAAATATCGTCTTGATTCTTACTTAGAAATTACGTACTTCATATTAACTAAACATTCCTCAAAAAATGTAATATGGGAATACATTTGAAATTTTTTATATCCATTGTTTGTATTTCATTAATTTAGCATGTAAACAACTGATTGGTATACCTCCTTATGCAAGATTTGCTGCTTCAAGTTCTCGTGGTAAAAGATCACAGAGATCCTGTACTCCAGAATACGGTCATTATCTAAGTAATAAAGCATGGTGTGCTCAGCGTCAGGATTGTAAGTTTTGCAAAATATTTCTTCATAAATTAGCTTTTGCGTTTTTAATATAAATACTTATAATTTTTCAGTGAATCCGTATTTCAAACTTAATTGAAAAACTTATTAACAGTAGGGTTTTTAAGTTTATTTACTGCACCATTTTGAAAATATTGAGGTATCTGATTGTGTTTGAAAAGAAATTGAGATCAAATTAAATGCAGTATGTATTTCAACCATAATAGTTGTACCAAACTTCGGTGGTTGATCTATTTGTGAAACCGATATTCACTGTGTGTAGGGAACATATGCCTTTGCTTTCAAAAACTACTGAACCATGTAAAGTCCGTTGATAATTGATCTAATCTTAGATAGGATGTATCCTGCTGTAATGGAATGATGATATTTAGGTAGTGATAATGATTACAGTATCTCTTATCCTAACATACTCGATGATATACTTTTTTTCACGAACAGAAATCATGGGAAGCAAGATAAACCTGCACGTACTGCCTAAAGATACAGGAAAAATTTATTTGTAAAGTAGATATATTCATCTATAAGATTTTATACCCATTAGACGATCACTTATACACTTTATCCTTTATCTATTCTATAAGTCAACCAATGTGAACTTTTCAGATTAGTTTATAGACCAGTCCAATTATTAGACAGATTTTTGTTTCTCAAATTAAAATAACGTTTTTTTTATTTAGGGGTTCTCATATGAACAGTATACTCAGTTAATTATCATGTTATATTAATCTTTATTTAAGCATAGACCTATCTGTAAGAAACACAATTAAGGAATAATGAGTCAGCTAAATAGGTGATGGATGTTGATTAAACTGAATAATTGTTTTTCATTCAGTGAACTGATTGTATCTATTCATAATCAACTGTTTAACAAATACAGTAAAACCCAAAAAAACACTCATATTGTACCAAATTAGAATTATTGGCTGAAATCACTCGGATGACTAATAGTGTAAACCTGGATAAGTGGATGTCGAGACCCGATTAAGAGAACGAATTGTGCAATAAATATGTGAGTAATAAAGTAAGCCATTAACTACTGTATGTTATACTAGAAAAAAATTAAATGAGTATGTCCTGTATCAAATTCACTGTCCGAAACTATTTAATGATACTTAGCAGATATGTAGGTCATGATACCATTCTCTGTGGCAAAAACGTTACTAGTAAAAGTAAGAATACAATATTTCGTATTATTGGTAATAACTTATTAAACGGTAACTGTTGCTTTAAAAAAATCTGTTGACTTAGACTCATGTTGTCTGAACACACTTTACTATTGAACATCCTAATTTCTTCTAAAATAAGATTGACGTTTTGTGGTAGGAATATTTACTGATTTTTGTGTGTATTCGTTTCATTAATGTTGATTTAAATTTAATTATTTCATGCAGTTTGTTTCCTTTATGAATTTTAATAAAACCAGAACAACAACTGAAGCAGAATAATTTGAATTTACTGTATTTTGTGGTCTCATATCAGTTGTTTATAAGCGTAGGAGTAATAAAATGTGTTGCGACACTTTGCACATGAAGTAATATATATTAATGACAGAAGAAATAGAATATATATATATATATATATATATATATATATATATATTTATTTATTTGTGCGTGAACAGGACTGAGGTCATATAGAGTTCAAATGAAAAATATAAGGAGTGGTGAGATAGTAATTAAATGAAGTTCTGAAACGTAGGTTGGGTCGTGTGATAATTATTAAAGTTATGAAAAGTTTACACAAATTTTAGATCAGTTATTTAGATTTGATAATTGAACGGTTAGTTAGTAAGTAAGCAAAGTTTGAAGGAGTTTATATAAGTTTTAAGAAACAAATGAATGAAAATATGATTTTGGTGTCCATAAGTTAAGAATTAGTTCAGTGAAGACTGCATAATATAAAAAACACCAGCTCTTTTTGGACACCTAAATCAGGTTTAAGTGTTTTAATTGTTACTGCAGTACCGGAGAGACACTGCGTTTTCTTTTGTCTGCTGATGATTTTGAAACATTGAAAAATGAACATGATGTGTCAAATACCAATTAAGTACCTGACTATTGCACTATTTAAAATCTTTTCATCTCTGACTGGCAAATTCTGAGGAACGTTCTTGTAAATACGAACTTGTAGTCTTCTGTTTATTCTTCCAATGTGCTTGTTCTAATACCCACATGTAAATTGGTAAATGCACCATACTCTTGTCAAATTGTGTTTTAAAACACTCAATAACCTTATTTTTATTATATAATAATTATTTCGTGCAATTTTCCCCATTGATAAATATCATTGAAGTAAGAGCGAAAAGCGTATCAGATTAGGGCGAATTTTTATTTATATTTAGCTATGTACAATTTAGAAACATTAGTAGTAATTATGTGCAACCATGTATCAGACTAATGAGAATTGGTAGAATAACGACAACAATTATTGGAAAGTTATAAATGAGATCAATACTTATTTAATTAAAGCAGGAGAAGCAAGCATAGTAGTAACATAATATTTTGTTGTGACGAATTAATGAACAGCCATTTCATTATTCTCTCTACGAATTTTAGTTTTACTGCTATTACAACTTATTAAATAAAAGTTTAACTAAATGGAAAGAGAATACTTCAACGTGACGAGCGCTGTGATCAAAACTTTACAAGCAAACAATCTAGCTTAGGAAACATTAAAGCACCCGAGCCAGCTACATGAACTCTAAATTCCAATCACTTAAAAAAATGATGAGTGATTGTTAGGTCTCTTCAGAAATGGTGAAATTCCCACTGTATCATCACTATATCATTTGGATCTATCTTAATTCAAAACTAAAAGACAACATACTAACTAACACTTGTGATAAAAATCTATAACTTAGCAATTTTTTCAGTATGGATATATGACAACAGGATTTGATTATTTGAAGTCTTGAAAATCCACAACAATGGGGAATTACATTGAGCAATAAACAATAACAACATTGAAAACTAAGGTCTAAATTGCATTGTAGCTTTCTTAAACATAACATTATGAAGTGTGTAATAATATGTGTGTGATCTAAGTTTTTTTTTATTAGTTATCATTATCAGTTTCTTTTTTCTGTCATATTCAACACAAAATCTGTGCATTTTATGTACACATGATTTTAGAAATTCAAATGAATCTTCGGGAACTGTATGAGACGATGTAAACCAATTAGTAATTGTGATAATTAGAACAACACATATGAGCAAACAATATTGTTTTCGATCAGATCGTCATCAGGCTTTACTCTAATATGCATGAATATTTGTATGAAAATGTTAAACCCATCAAGGCAATTTGAGTGATAATCACAATGAAATGAAACAGAGATTATGTCACTACACATAATAGGCAAAAGTACAAGTAGATAGTAGGAAGGCAGGTGTACTGATAGTAGTAAGAAAATTATAAAATATGATAGCAAGAGTTTTATTTGTAACCATGAATCGATCAATGTTAGACCACCATTGGAAACCTGGAAGAAGCACTGGACGACCGTTTCGTCCTGATATGGGACTCATCAACAGTGCGCATCCACGACTCCTGCTCCTCGCAGGACTCGATATTATGCGCAAACGCCCTAACCGTTAGACCACTGAGCCGGTATCTAACAGTGTTAATGTCTAACTTGATCAAATCCACGAAGTTGCGCGACCTAATACCCTGTATACATCCGGACAGGTTTGAACTTCACTGGTCACGACTTCTTACTAGATGAGTCCCCTGCTGATGAGTCCCATACCGGGACGAAACGGCCGTTTAGTGCTTCCAGGTTTCTAATGGTGGTCTAACATTGATCGATTCATGGTTACAAATAAAACTTAAAAATCTTCACAACAACCCCGCAATGAAACTAAAGTTTTATCAATAGTAGGTCAAAGGTGGGTGAATAGACTTCAAATAATCATTAAAAACATCAAAACCATTACATAATAAGCAAATGTGTAAAAAATTAAAAAAATTAAAATAAGATTAAAAATATAATGTCAACCGTTAGTTACGTCATATCCGGCCACGGAAGAGATAAATATATAAATATAAATATTCATGCATATTAGAGTAAAGCCTGATGACGATCTAATCGAAAACAATATTGTTCGCTTATATGTGTTGTTCTAATTAGTAATTTATTTTATAAAAATTTAGTTAAAATTAATATTCATTGATTTGGCGACATTAACAAACATTCGTATTTACAAAACGTTAAATGATATCACGAGTCTGTCTACTGAAAGCATACATCTGCTTTACACTTAAGTGATTACATTTCACAATGATTGAATCGTATGACTGTCATACAGGAGATAGGATTGACCACTTGAATATTTTATTTTCACAAGTCAGTTACACTTCAAAGAAGAGGTGTTAAGAAAGTGTGAATAGTCAGTTAATTCAACACAGAGATGAAGCAAAAAATAAACTGTAAACATTTCATCAAATAGGTATGAAGAAAGATCATTTTTAAACACCAAGTGATTGAATATATATATATATATATATATATATATATATATATATATATATATATATATATATATACCAAAAAACACTCCATGTTGAGAACGTACCAATCAGTCTTTCAGCAGTATACACTCCCTACCCTATTAGTAATCAAACACGTATTATCAAGAGTTTTCATATTTTAATGGTTGCTTATAAGTAGGTTCCAGTTGATCACTTCTTCTTGGTTCCTTTATTCTAAGCTAAAGTTTTGTCCTTGATTCAGATCACGTTCAAGATGAACAATCGTACTGACCTTTACATATTCTTATCTTCAAATACTTAAATAAATGATTTATTTATAAGTGAGAAATACATTTTTATAGATTTTGTGTTTTTTCCTTTAAATATAACTAAATTTTAATTGTAGTTATCAATTTTTATTTATTTATCTTCCATGAAGAAAAGAAAAATCACTTATTATTATTATTATTACTATTATTATTAGAGAAAAATAAAAATTTAAACACACCCTTATATTCATTTTGCTCTTTTAGAAAAACACTTGAATAAATAATCTATGTTTAATTTCAGATGTAAGTTATAATCTATAATAATGAGTTGTTATAAGCAAATCGTTTTGTTAAGATTATGGTACAATGGTTTTTCTGATAAAATACGTCTTCATTGGTAAAATATTATCTTAAAAAAATCCTGATGAAAATGGTTGTGGATTAATCACTAATTCTTCTTTTACAAGTAGTTAGTACAATTCTAGGTGTTTGAGTGAATAAAATCATTTTCTCTAGACAACTCAAGAATTATGTTTTCTAAAATTCATGCCCTTTTATTGTAATATTTATTAAATTACAGATAAATAAATGTGTCAGTTTATCCTGTTAACAATTCGTCGTACTATATATATATATATATATATATATATTTACTGAAGTTGAGGAACAACGTAGATAGGTGAAACTATTCCACTTGCAAGTAATTCCTATGCATTGGAACTGAGTTGGGATTCTACTTTTCAACAATTCAAGTATATGAATATGCAGATATTTCGCTAGTTATGATAGGTTTAAATAAGTCCAAAGAACAGGACATTTTCGAAACAGAAGTGAATTCACTCTTATTTTATGTAAAGCTGAGATGATCTATTTAAGATCACTGAATACATGCATTAGAAAAACAATTCTACATTTATTAACTTTTAAGATGAATCAGAATAGTTAATTCAGCTAATCATTTTCAAGAACTAAAATTAACTCTAAATATCTAGTAGAACAACCAAACAATCCCAAACATTTCAAAGTAAAGTAAAATGTATCCCTGTTGAGCGGATGCATGATGAGATGGGGTTTGAAGTGAACGGCTCTAGGTTCAAGTACTGGAGTAGGATGCAGATTCATTTAACTGGCGAGTTTCAAGTAGGGAGAGCCGTGCGTTCTGGATCCCAATCTCAGTTACATTCTATATCATAATAGCTTTATTAATGCACTCTACTCAGGGTGCCTATACGCAAACTAACCCCGTTCAAACTTCAGTCAAAATATTAACAAAGGAACAGTCAAAACCATTCCAAATTAAATTACACCACTAAACATGCATGATGAATTTTCATTTAACTCTTATAAGTTGCCCTCATTTTAAGGCACTTATGACAAAATTAATTTTTTTAAACAATGATCACTGATGAATAAATTAATTCGCAAGTGTAAACTTTGGAAAATTTAATTTCAGCAAAAAGAAAAAAAATCAACAGACAATTACAATAAATGGAAATAGTTTTTTCTTGTATATGCTAAACATTATGTTCCTTCATTCTTTTTTACACAAAATTCCTTCAATCCATTACATTGATCATTTATTAATCATTTACACATGTTTACATTAACAATAAATAAACATAAAATGCAAAAAAGTAAAAAAAAACAAACAAACAAATTTTCATTGTTTCATCAGTAAAGAATAGAGAGAAAGGCAAGGGGGGGGGGTTAGAGAAAGAATAAAAGTAAGTAATTAAGTAGAAGGAGGATCCATAAATTTATTAGCGTAAAGCGAATTCGCTTTTAGCAGATGTAAAACAGCAACAGGAATTTGATGTGTGTGTACAAGTTTTCGTCTTCGTTGTTGTTGTTGAGATGCCAAAGTAAGGAAAAAAATTAAAAACAGTTAACAATTTTCACGACTGTCTAACCCATTTCACATTTCATTGAGTAAACAACGTTGTCTATTCATGAATCACTTCTTGTTTTTTTGTACATTCTTCATTTATTTTAATGATTTCCACATGTTAAAAAAAAGAAACAAAACATAAAAGAATGTTTCAAAGCAAAAGCGAATGAAAATAGTGTCATGCAACTGAAACGAAAATGGATTTGAATACACAATGACCGTTTTTAATTCTACTGTATTATTAACTGCTTGTTTAATAATAACAGTGTGGAATGAATCATAATTAGTTGGTTGTATGATATCAAACACTTGAATGGAGTTTATGTTTTCAAATAACTATTACAAATGTATGTATGATCAGTGGATTCATGATTAAAATTTGAGTATGTTAAATGCTGTTTCGCCAGTAGATATAGACAGTATAGTATTTTGTTTACTTTAGGTATCGAATAAGATTGTAAATTTACTTTTCATTATTGTCGGACATAGAGTAGATTACTGAGGAGAAGTATTGATATTGATCATAGTTATGGATCTATAGTCATCATCAGATAATGGCGTCACAAATTAATGAGATCTCTGGATTATTGGGCTACAACTTGAAGATCTATATTTACGACTCTAGTAAATTCATTTCGATCACAATCAATTGTCAGCATTGATATCCATCTTACTACGGATAATAGTCGAATATCAAAACCTGCGGTTTCCTGTTAGGTGTTGAGAAAGTTATTTCTTCTATAAGCAACAACGACCATAGCAATTTTCGCAGAATATATTTTCTAAAAGTTGGTTTAGCTTGATGTCACTCTAAATCTTATTACTAACATTAATCAAAGACAGCTATTGAAGACGAGGGAAGGTTGTTACAATGTTGAAGATATTTATTTGAATATCATAGATTTTTGGGTGTAAAAGGTCTACTACCTAAAAGTGTTTCTAATAAACACCGAGATATTTATGTTGTATTTTATTATATGTTTGTCTTGTTAAAATTTAAGTATGATTGACTATTTTTCAAATATTTAATAGATTCTATTACCGGACAAATAATACTGCCGTAACAAATTATTAGTTGTGTTTCCGATAATATAAATATGAAGTAAGAAATAGACCATAAAACAATGAATTAGAATGACTATGTCCGAAATAATTATTAAGTGAACGTGCAAATGAATGTCAAGGTTTTATGACATTCAGTAGAACACTGTTACTTCATATCATCATCATCATCATCATTCAAGGAACTAGTCACCTTTCAGTAAGTGATTACGGAAAATATCTTCGATAGAATAGAATGTAATTAAAATAGAATACTGCTGGTAAGTTCCATTTCAGGATCATTTTCTGCCAAATTGTCTATCGTAAGTGTATTTGGTTATCAATACTGTGAAAAACTACTACCGGATGTTCTCTTTTCAAATTAATAATATCTTGCAATGTTTTGTTGTTGGTGAATTATGTACGTACATGAAAGTACTCATCATTGATTATTTTTTTCAAGTGATTTACAAATTCTAATTCACCCAAAATGCTTATATTCAATGAAAAAAAAGTTGTGTGGGTTTCAATGAAAATGATCGAATGCTGTAATTTTTGTGAGGGTTTACACTGAAGCATTTTAGTGATTAACATACTATAAGACGTAATGACTTCAATTTTTTGTATTCTACCAATCTGATAAGTTTTTTTCTTCACTCGTTAACTTTGTATACATGTATATTGCTTAAAAAGTGGGAAGTCCATTAATTGGAATTTGTTTTAATGAATAAAACAGATCGAATGAATCCATTTGTAGTTTGTACCGTATACTAGAAACCGAAAGTGTTGCAATTAAATTTAAGATCATTTTCATTTTTCTGTTCTGTTAATTAGTGTGTTACAGAACACATGTAAATGAAGTTTGATATGTATTATTTATAAAACTTCACTGTAACTAATAATTTGCTAGTTGTTTATAATTTTATAACTAGTATATTCCATTTGATTCTAATTCTTTTTTTCTGTTCATTCAAATGAAACTACTTATAAGTAATAGGATCAATAAACAAATAATTTTTCCACAGATACGTAATTAGTAATCCACAGAAGTGTTTAATTTTCTCAGAAAATCATAATCTTAGATCTGGGCAACGTGAACGAAAATAATCTGAACCTATATGAAATCTTTTTGTTAACTAATTAAATTAGTTTTGTTTCAGTAATCAATTATACCGCCATGATTAGATGTTCAACACCATGTTCATTGCTCATTTCATTGTTCTGTTATACTATTTTAGTGTTAAAACTAGTAGAACCTGAACTTTTATATGAAATATTTTTCTTCATATTAGCCTGAGTTCATGGCAGACTTGTCAGATTTATAGATGTTTCAGCAAGCTAAAAACCCTGACGATGTATTTTAAACACAATTTATGCATTTTCTTGTCAAAAACCATCACCATTTTAATACAAATAGACTACTCACCAGTTGTAACATAGTAGTCATTGACAAAGACTCTAAATTTTATCGATAAAACTGAAGTAGTGTGGAATTTGTTATCAAAATAATAAGATTTATATTTGACTACTGTACAATGTACATGTACGTGTTAGTCAGTAATAAATCTTCCTCAGCATCTGAACTAAACAAAAAAAACTAACAAGGTAAGTGTACAGTTCGTATAATAGTAGCGACAAAGCTGTGCAAGTAGAACTTCAGTTTTATCAAGTATATTTAGCATTTTGAGGATTAACATTAGTCGATCCTAGATTATTATTTATTTTTGTTAATAATCTGTTTATCAATACATGAGAAATTATTTTATCGTTACGGTTCACATTTTAGATTTATATAACATTCTTGTCACTGATGATACCTTTCCGGTATTAGTTGCTTATAAGTTACGGACCAAAATCACTATTTTTATCGTGGTTTTATGCTACTCTGTCAATTTTAATTTTGATGAACTCTATGCAACTACTATTCTTCATATGTAACGCTTTTGTTTTATAAATTAACCCGAGTTTTCAATTGTTTGAACTTCATTACTAGTTATGATTATCTAGAAAACCTCTTTATAGACTTTTTGTTTATCACTTATCTAATCAACTACTTCAATTATTTTATGAGTGTGTTATCATCAGCGAGGATTTCAATTTGTCCAGTAATACATTGATTGATATTTCATTAAACTCAGAAATAATATTTTCAAATAAATTCAATTCTTTTTAACATTTTCTTCACCTTTTAAAACTATTCAGCTTTGCAGTGGCTTCAAATAGACGTTGGCCCACCAACATTGATAACCGGTGTTATTTTGAAGTCAAGAGGGGATGTGAAGAATTCGCAATATGTGACACGTTTCAAGCTGTCTTACAGCAATGATACACGTTTGTGGTACTTTTACAAGGATGCAGCTCCTCTAGATCCAAGAGTGAGTTTAAGTTGTTGATGTTCTATGGGCTATTGGTATTCAACAGCGCTGTACATTTAAGTGATACATTTTATTAAAGCATACAACAAATAGTTTTGATTAATAAATAGAAGTTGAATGTATTTAGTCATAGTATAAAATTATAATGTTTCTCAATGAGACTATTTTTGCTTTAAGCAATTTGGATAAGTTAAAGCTTAATATAGTCACTGAGTACGTACTGATAGGTTTGTAATTGTTTGCTGATGTTTTCAGCGATCCCCCTAAGCAGAATAAAAATGTGTTGTCACTCTCCGTAGTTGAACAGAATGATACCACAAGTAAATGGACTTTACTCACGTTTCACTTTTTCTACACGTACGCATTTTCTTTTCAACTGTTAGAAAAAATATCTGAGCTTCAAATTGTAGCTTTATAAGAATAAACACTACTTTTGAATTATTTGAAATTTTAGTCTGAAAAAATTAACCTTATTCAATCCTATGATTTAAATATCATCAACATCATCATATAAAAGAGAAGTTTTGTTTCTTCATATTAAATTACCATTACTCTTCAATAAATGTTTATAATCTCAAACAACTTAAGCACTAGTTTGACGCCGAATATCTTCGCTTTTTAAGAACCGACTAGTGAAATTATCTGGAACAGTATCAGCATAATGTATATAACGGATTGAAGTTTTTCAACAGAAATGTTTTATTTTGATGTTTATAATTAAGTATTAAGTAATTAGCTACTATCTTATTGAGTTCGAAATTGACTATTCTTTTAAAAATGAATTTTTACTATTTAAGCATTTTTTTATACGTTTAGAATTCTGTATAATAACTATATTATGCTTATTGAAGTCATTGTTTCAAATGTTATCATTAACTTGATTAAATATTTTTTTTACAACATGGTATAACTCTCAGACAAAATAAATTAATACAGTAAATTAACAACTACATCGCCTACTTTAATATATTAATCATATCTGAAATAATCCTATGTATTTGATCATTTCATCAAACAGTTTCTACATAGCATATAAGCATAAAATATCAGTCGTCATTTGACTTTGATATTTGTAATCATCACGGTTAGTTTAATATTCTCGATATTTTTAAATAATATTAGTGTTTTCTTTCACTCATTTAATACGCTTGTGACCAAAGTTCTTGGAAAACTAAGTTAATTTGTCATAACGAATGGAAAAAACATTTAATGACCTCGATGCTTTGTTCTCAAGTAAAGTCGAATCTCACTGTGAGACTCAAATGCCATTATTTTAATATTTAGTTCTCTTATCTGATTATATATTATTACTCTACTGTATTTTAGGAAGCAAAACCAAAGTTCTCAAATATAGCTATAAAACTAGAACTAAATGGAATCCTGTTTCTTGAACTTGTTTTTAGAAGATGGTTCAATCGTAATAACTTTTACGTATCATTAGATAAGTATTAATCTATTACTTAATATTATTACAGGCTTGAGTTCACTTAAAAAGACTTACAGTTTGTAATTAAAGCACTGATAGATTTAACTTCTTATCAACAAACATCTATGTTATGTTTAAATCCAAACCTATTTATCAGACATATTTGATTTACTTTCATCCAGTTAGATTGAAAATGTTTGTGAATAAAAGCATAAACTTGGGCTGTCCCCTATTCGAAGTTCTTAGTCTTTTCATTATGACAAAAAAAACTAAGTCAGTAATTCAGATATTTTACAAAAAAAAAAGAAAATAAACTATTCACATGACTTCTTGTTTTTATGATACAAACTAATTTATATTCTTTTCTTTTCTTCTTGTGTTACATTTTATTGCATGAATTCAAAACATCATCAATAATGTTTACAACTACTATTACCATTTCATTTCATTTATGGCTTTATGGTTTATGCTTTTTACTCTGCCCTTCATCTACTCACGAAAAATTTTTTCTTATTATTTACTATTTTTATTTTGTTTTCATTTCATTTATTTTTTTGCTTGTGACCGTTTTTATATTTCGATTATTGAACATTGAATGAAAATGTCTACGGTTTTTTGTTAAAGTCTACTGTGTGGTCATTTGAATGGAGTCAAAAAATGAAAGAATCCGATAATAAGACAAAATCTGATAAAGTAAAGACATTTGGTGATAGTAAATTTTTTATCATAAATCTATTCCAAATACACGGTGTTCATTAAATTTATTGGCTTACTCATTATTTGGTTTAACCCATTTCTTTAATTATAATGCATGGTTTGTTAAAAATGTACTTTAACCATTTTAGTTCCATACAGGTGAAATACTTTCAAAGTATTTTTATTTTCATAAAAATAATCCATAATATAAATTAACTAGCGAATAAATAACTGGAAAATTTTTATTCAACCCCTTGTTGAGTCAAAATTGTTAATTTCATAACGAAAATATTTCTATCGGTATTATTAACTCATAATGTCTGTCTCTTTAAAATAGTGAATGCTAAAATCTACGTTTATGGAAATTTACTAATAGAACAAATTTGAATAATATTTAAATTATGAGTTGCTAATAGATAAATAAACTTAATAAATGTAATTTAAAATTAGTCAAGAATAAACTGATTTATAGTGATTAAGTTAATTGAACGTTGTATCACCTAACAAATTTGAGTAAAATATGAGTACCATTCCAAAGTATATACTCAATATTGACTTTTGTAAAGTGAAATCTTTAACTGCTGATACGAAATGATTTAATTTAGAATGAAGTTGGTTGTTAATAAGTTTAAAATTTTCCATATAAAACAAACTTTTAAAAGCTAATTTATGTAAAGCCCACTAGGGAAATAGAACTTGTTGATCCAAGTAGTCAAATGTTATAATTTTGGTTATAATAAAATCATGTTGCAACACTTTTACTAATTACACAACTTAAGTTATACTTATTCGTTAAAAAATATTACTGATTAATGTAGTAGTGCTCTTCAAAACTTGAAAATGCATAGCTTACATTATTTTCTTCTGATCACTTCGATGATGTAACATTGGAAAACTGTCAGAAAAACGTTTACTAACTGATTGGTTTAAGAGTGAAAGTGTTGACGTGAAAACCTGTTGTAGTTTTTTTTTATTATGACTGTTTTGTAATTCAAAAGATTTTCAAAAACACAAATGTTCAGTCGATTAATTCTTACAAATTGAATGAATAATTAGATTCAACATTTTCATTTAAGAAAATTTATAAAGACCTAATTAGGATTTCGTTCGATCAAATTTTTTAATGAAAGATTTTGAATTAATTAGTAAAGTTGTCTAGACTAGTTTAATTAGTCTAGTTTAATTAAACTTATCAATTATATTCAGAAAAATAAGGTTTTACTAAAATCACTTAGCAATGATTTTTTATTATTTCAATAATCAAAAACTCAGCATTGATACAATGCATGATGAGTCACACTTAATGCTTTTATGACTACCTAATATAATAATTACTACATTACATAACTACGAGTTTCGCACAAAACTCCAGCGTAGAACACTTTAAATTTCGAATCATAATAAAAATTAAAACTAGCATTTATTTAGGAATACCATGTGTAATAGCACAAGTTCATCAACTTGTAAAACTTTCACATCATTCCAGATCAGTTAAACGTGCCTCCTGATAAAGTATTAAAAAGATCTGTTCATTGACAATTTACCTCATCCAACTTCATATTAAATAATCCTCCTTCATAGTATGCATAAATATATGGGCTATTGAGTATAATAAACTTTGTGCACATTTGAAATCATCAATCATTCATTGTTAGACCACCATTAGAAACCTGGAAGTACTGGGCGGCCGTTTCGTCCTGGTATGGGACTCATCAACAATCATCATCAATCGGAGTTAGACATTAACACCTTTGAATGCCGGCCCAGTGGTCCAGTGGTTAGGCGTTCGCGCACAATACCGAAGGTCCCGGGTTCGAATCCTGCGAGGTGCAGGAGTCGTAGATGCGCACAACTGATGAGTCCCATGCCAGGACGAAATGGCCGTCCAGTGCATGCGGGTTTCTAATGGTGCTTTAACAGTGGTTGATTGATGATTTCAAATGTGTGATAACACTAATCTCCATAACTCTAATTAAAAATAAACTCTGTATTTAGGAATAAGTGTAAATCATCAAGAGATATTATTTGAAACTAAAAACTAAACATTAAAAACTCGTATTTTTGATAATTTCTCACTTTTCACTTTCTAATAATTTATTTATTCTCTGGTATCATTTTATTAAGTAAAATGGCTTCTTCAGAACTTTTTCTAGTATTCCTAAACAGTAAAGTAAGCCGTGTGAAGAATTGTTCTCAGAGATCTCCGGTTAAATTTGTCTCAAACTGAAAATAAGAGGAAGAATATTTACTTCCTATATGTTCATATCTGGTTAACTAGATTTTTTTCACCTTCTCCGGAGTAATCAATTTTATTGTCTTACCTTTTGAATAATTCTTTTCTCCTTTTGATGAATAAACATCTTCTACTCTTCAGTCACAAAACTTGTTCTAAATTTCACAACACTCACTTTACAGATTTGTTTGAGTTGTTGAATTTTGGAGTTTACATCACTGACTGGTCCTTTTCAGATAAAAATTCAAGACTACGAAGTAGGAAACATTTATTTTATCCTAGTACTGGACTCTTCATTAATGCACATTCATAACCCTAGTAAGGATCGATCACAGAGCCGTCAGGTTTCTTGACGAACTCGTAACCTCAACACATCTAATGGTTTGTATGTTTGGTTCCAGTCAGTTTGTTATATTGAACAACTATTTTTCAGCAACATTGGTAGGTAACTGCCTCACACTTGACATTGTTAAATTCCATTGATAAATGCTTCTTAAAGGAATCTATTTAGTAACTCACGAACAAATGATGTATTTCACTTGGCATTATGCAACATACATACCTTGCTTTAGTTTGCAGGGCCTTAAAACTTTTAATTGACATTTTTCCCTGGCTTCCCAAATTCCTATTATATTATCTAACGATTATTTCCATAGATACACTGAATAACAATATTGCTAACATGATAACCGTCTTTCGGCGGGTAGTAATTCTACTATCGATCGTCCAATTTAAAATATAAATATTAAGTCATGATGATCGAATTACTGCTTAAGTTATAAAAATTAAGAATAAATTACCACTTGCTGTCATGAAGAATGTGAACTGAAAATATGTATACACTTATAGGTGATTATGAATATACTATATTTCGTTTCCAACCATAACTAAGCCGAAGAAAACTGAATACACAATGTACTATTAATTATATAAATCATAATCTCAATCTTCTGACCTAATTCTCTAGTCTTCGCTTTCCGTGTGACATTCATATAATCAGTCTGTTGATTTATATGTGATCTGTTTGTGGATTCTATAGCTTGAATGAAACTTGGGAAAACATTGAATGTATGATGTAATGTTTGTTACATGAATTCTAGATGTCTTAGGATATCATGATTATAATTATGGTTAATAATCATTATTATACATTGAAATAGTTCAAGAAAACTTTCGGTTAAGTTGTACTACTGCAGCTGATAAAATTCTAACTAATATTAAAATCCACTGCATGCCTTTGATCTTTTGTTTAGTAGTAGTCAGTTAAATGTGCATAGGATGAACACATGCTAAATAAGACTGATTCATTTCAGTCTTGAGTTAAAAAACAAACAAACAAACGGTTAACTATCAGTTGTTATGTTTTCCGTTGTTTTGTTTGTAAAATATCACACAAAAATAATTAAAAAAGGTGTGAAACTTTGCATTGGAAAATTTTGGATGAATACTACTTTCATCATGTTCTATAGTTATATTGATTAGATTGCTTTTACTGAATAAATATTTTGTGATTGAAATGTAACATCAACACTACGTTACTTGAATTTTTTTGCTTGAATGCTTTATTTGTGAATCGGTTTTTTGATATGGTTTTACATCATCCAGGACTGTTTTGATCATCACTAAATAAATAAAATGGAATAATATTTTGCGAGTTTTTTTCAGTCGAATGGTGAATTGAAAGAAATCAGTGTTTAGTTCACTCAAAGAAAGATTAGTTAGCAATACTCTCATAAGACTGTTGGAGACGTTAGATCCCCAGAACTCACTTGATAAATGCCTTAATTTAGGATTTCATGTTTGCGAGCATGGGCTGATTAGCTGACCTTGAGATTTCATTTCCCACCAGGAAAATCCTTGGCAGTGATTGGCGGCTGTGTATTTTGTCGTGCTATTTTTTGACTGTCCCAAGGACGTTTCCATGATGTATAAATAAACGAGATTTGTGTGCTTGATTGCATTGTGCTTGCTGGGTGTTTGTAGAATATACTTTCTACGCTATATCAAGACTTTTCATTAGTCAACTATTCAGGGTAGCCTGCCTGGATGCTGGTTCATTGTCTCATTCTAGTTTATCGACTAAGGTGAACCTGTAATAGTTTCAAGCACACTTGGTGACGAAGCTAACAGATTTTAGAACAATATGTATTGAGCTGAAAGAACTATTAGCATGCAGACTGAAACTTGAAAAATAAAGAATGTTCTAAAGTTTAGTTAAACAAGTTTCTTTTGTTTATAATTTGAAGTAAACTTTCATGCATTTGTATTCATTTTACGTGTATGCTTTTCAATTTCAGTTCGGATTTTCAGTTCATTTTCTTTTTGTTTCGTTTGTGAAAAAACTAATTTTTTTTTAAAAATATATGTTTATTTTATAATTTTGCATGTGAGAAAAACAAAACGATATTATTATAAAAAAAGTAATTGACTTATTAATTTTGTTCATTTCATTAACATTCAAAACACAATCAAATTATATTGATAAAACTTAAACATTCACACCACACACGTGATTTTCTGAAGATATTCGATGGAAATAATGAACAAGTAACTGAACGTATACATTATTTGGCTACTCCATTTATTGCACGTTATGTACGCATACATCCAGTGATATGGAGAAGTCGTATTGCAATGCGTGTTGGTCTGTTAGGCTGTAAACAAAAAGGTTTTTGTAGTCCTGGTTTCTTTCGGATTAACAATGAAAGTTCTTGCGGTAAGTTGTACTATATTTTAATCTTTTGAAGATTTTAAATTCAAAATACATTAGCTGTATCGTATTCTTCTCTATCTTGATAGCATTTAACAGTTTATACGTTATTGATATCGTTTATACAATTGGTTGGTAGCGGTTCACTAAATATCCGTAATCTCCCAATTCTGTCACTTACTGTAGGTGTTTCTAAGTGATCAGAATATTAGTATATACATATAAGGGAATACTAGACAGCAGTTTTATCGTGTTATATGAATAATGCTTGCAAATGGTCGAAAAAAACTTAGCTCTTGAAGATTTAATAAGCAGCATAATTAACACACGGGCAGGTATCTGAACATAAGAAAAATTATGGCATAAACATAATTGATCATTTACAAAATATCAACATGAAAGGAGTGAGAGCTAAGAGATAATAAATAAACCATGTGAAACACATGATAAACCTAGAAGAGTAAGGAAGTATTAAAAGTAACACAGATACTTGAAAATTATTAACCGGTTTACTGAAAAGTATGCAATATATTCACGTGACGACTTTAAATCAATAATGAATTCATATTATTCTGCCTGAATGTTTGTTTTGGCTTTATTTACTGAAAGACAATACATAAACTAGAATCCAGATAAAAGTATGAAAGAATGATGTATTATTATATCGTAAAAAAGGTTTTAGGTTTGTTATAAAATAAATTGAGAGATTACAGTTATTTTAAAGTTCGTTTTGTCGAACACTGGATATCTAGATATCATGTGATCACTTAGGGAAACAATTTGCAACGATTAAGACTTCTTATAGGCAACATGCATTTTGGAAATAGCTTGAATGACTGACTTCTTACCCAAACATTGCAGAATATTGATATAATCAATAAAGCGAGATTAAAATGCGATGGAACCTTACTTAAGAAGCTGATTTGTATGTTAGGAAAACCTGTTTTGCTATACCTGATTACTTATAGGTCCATAAAGAATTTGATAAATTATCTATTAAGAAATTTATGGACTTGTTCAATGAACTGACTTAGGTTGAAGCTACCAATCTGTGTAATTTGCCAAATTATAGTGAAGTATGACGAAGTTGGTTTAAAGATGAACTCAACGAGAGCTTAGAAGAGTGTAACGAGGTTTTGGTATTACTTATTAGTTCCTCATGATATTTTAGCTCGTAAAAGCTATGGCATGCATGTGTCTTGCCTATGCAATATCTATATTTCAATGAGTAACAATTATTGTAAATTTTCTTGTTGTTTAAATTTACTTATCTAGTCCCTAATCTCGCTTACAAGAAAAATGCCTGGTTAACACCAGAATCTTCAAATCACCGTAAAAGAAATCTTCAGGATTCTGATAAGTCACCACGTTCACTTGGTTTCCCTAATGAGATAAGAAATGTAGTTGATCCTCAGGATCCATTACATTTTCAACAAACTGAAAATCAACGTCCACCTATGTTAGCTCATCATAGGATAAGAGATAACACCATTAATTCAAATGCGTTCAGATTCAGCAACATACCTTTGTGGTCATCAGTTAATGGCATGATCAATGAACAATTCATGGGTGACGATAGTGATGGAATGGCATTGTTAGCTGTTGATGGTTGGACAGGTGAAGAAATACTATTAAGAAATTCAACACTATCAACAAGATCATCAGAGCGTCTAATGAACGATGCTCCAGACAATAAACAACCGACAAATGATAGTTTCAATAAAAAAGGTCTACAGAATATACTACACACAACCTCCATGATACAAAAATCTGCTCATCCTTGCACAGTACTTGAATACAGATGGCCTTTTGTTGAATTACCTTCTTGGTATGTAGACCTCAGAGAATATATAGAAGTAAAAGGAGTTGTTATTTATACAGCAGGTCATGGTCGAGGTTAGTACTTAATTCTCTGTAATCACATATGATGTCATTGTGGTTAGTGATTATAATTGTTATCAGTTTTGTTATTAACATTTCTGTCAAAACACACTCTGGGATCTCACACACCCATCAGTTTAACAACTGAATATATATACTTGACGAAATAATCAAGTGAGTGGAATTAATAACTGATACCTTTTTCTTGAAATACCACTGTGTTCCTCCCCCCTTATCTATTAAGGCCAAATAGCCAGAATTGGTAAAAAAAATGTTTAAGATCGTGCAATTGACACAAGACGAACGAAGTTTGATAGACTGATCAAATTCAACTCTGAATATCAGTAGCAAAATATCTCAAATCTTTTATAATGATGATATAACTGGATACAGTTGGAAAGCAGATTCAACTTAGTTTAGCTCAGTAGAAAATGTGAATTTGCGTGAAACACAGTGTAGAACACGGACTGTGCATGGTCAGTACACTTTAGCCCATGAGAATAATGGTAACTGATCATATAGACAACATTATATCTTCTTAGATGGTACGTAATAAATATTACAATAAAATATTTGAGTTATTTTTAGTACACATTAATTTATGAGAATGTTCATTTTTCAGTTTATGTACATTTCGATGGTAGAATCTGATATGAAAGACATTGAAGATGATTATTCCTCCAAACGTCTATTGTCTAACACATTCGAAATCCGGTTAATATATAAAATGGAACTTAATGATTTTCTGGTATCATGAATTATAAATCTACACTTTTTTCATATGGTTTTCGATTGTACTACAAAAATGGGAATATATACATCTGTCACCAATAACGCAATTTATTTGACCCATGAACAGTTAAAAGTGTAGATCGACTATGGGACTCAGTAATCAGTAATATTTTATTGCAGTATTGTAGCCTCAAGACAAGTAATATCTCCTAACATAAAGCTAATTAACTGTCTCAGTAACTAGTTAAGAAAATATGCTTTCTATTTTGATGCAATCAGTCGTTCAAGTCAAGTAAATTAATACAAATGGTATGCTAAGTTCAAATACACTTGTTCGCTTTTGATATCGATACATGTATACCATATTTCTTCTCAGACGCATCAAGTCAAACTTATTTGTGTAGTTCTCAATTTTGCAATTTTCAGCTTCATTTGATTATTCTTTATATTACCTAGAATACGATCAATAAACCGTAAAAACCATAAACCTATGTTTATTAACTTGATTTATAAGTTAACTTTCATCAACTTCTGAAGCCAGGCACTTCAGATCATATATCCAGAGCCGCAACTTTATAGCATTAAGTTAGATCTTTACTTGACACTACTGTGCGCTAAAACACTGAACTCGAAATTATCAGAAAATAGATTTGAACATATTATTTTCGTGAAATCATTTTTAATTATTTGATATTTGGAAGTTCTGTCATGAAAAATAATCTTTTATATATTTCAGATGGAAGATATCTTCTATCTTCTTTATTTGGTGGTGAAGACAAAACAAAATTCAACTCAGAAAATTTAGAAAGATTATCTATTTATGTTGAATCAGAACCACGTCATCGAGACACTAAAACCCTGTCTAGACCAAGTTCTAGTCTATGTGGTTTTGTCACTAGAATTAATGATGCTATATTCAGTCCACGCTTACATATACCTTGCAGACAACCATTAATCGGTCGTTATGTTTATGTTGAAGCTCGTGGAGTTCGAGGCCGATGGTCACAAGAGTTTGCAGCTTTGTTATGTGAAGTTATGGTGTATTAAAATGGAACTGTGTTCGGTAGTGCGGGGTACAAATACAAATAATGCATTTATAATTATCATGATGAATATCATTTATACCTCATTACAATCAATGACAAACAGAATCAGTCATTATTTTAATGGTATAAACGCGAAAGAAATTACTACATTTAAAATGAATTTAACATGATTTCTTTCTGTCTATTAAACATTGTTTACCGACAGCTTGATATATTACACTGTTTTCTTAAATTCACTTTTTTAGGTAGGCGACACATGTTCATCATTAAAATATATGTTCACTAAATATATTTACACATATAACAATGTAAGCATTGTGTAATTCGTAATTAAATACATTTCGGTTCATAATTTTGTCAACACAAGCACCTGAATTAAAATAACAATTGGCCTTATCTAAAATGTTGTTATTTGCTTTAATGCACATTGAGTTTATTCTTTTCCGATATTTCAATGTAAACTATACATTCATCTTATAGACAGGAAGACAGATCACATTACAATAAGTATGACATTCATGAGGTCATTTATAAATTTCACAATGAATTTAAAAAATTTGTTTCATAGATAAATCTTTTAAAAATAAAACTAACAAATAAAAAAGAAAACCGGAGTTTTTGTATTAGAAATTGTTGTCATATTGTTTTATTGTTTGTTGTCTATCTTTAGATGATAATCACGAGATCAATAATTGTAGTTGTATTGCAGTGTTCTTGATTAAAGATTTCATTTCTGTCGCGTCAGTGAATGTATGTAATAAATTTGTTCGAACGTTATCTTTGTGAATGAACTTGGCTAGGCTGAAGCTAAGAAAATATCTGTGAAAGATTTTAATGGAAATTGTGCATATTAAAAAATGTGCTCATACTGTAAGCTAGCAGTAAACAAAATAGTTTTCGTATAGTAGCATCAGCCTATGCTTTTAAATGCTATAAAGAGAGGAAAAATCGCGCTATCAGCGTTAAATCGATAAGTGAATTTCCGACTGGGACGAATTGAGATTATTGGGAAACAATGGGAGAGTTTGTACAGTAAAGATAGATAACTCACGGAGACGGATTGTTCTGTTACAGTTAGAAAAATTTAGCGGAATAGAAGTTTACTGAAGGTTCAAAAATGTTCATTCACATATATTTCACTGCTGATGCTTTTCGTTAACGAAGTACTTTTGATGAAATACTATTCATATTCGTCTTAACGAAAAAGATTACTTTGATAAGAAAAACTCTTACTTTAATCACGTGATAATCGATGATTAGGCTAAATTTGAAAGGAATTTTTTTATTTAAATGTTCGAATATCAACAGCATTTAGTGGAGAATTTATTAAACCAACCAATAATATCATCATTTCAGATTGCAGTTGGAAATTTCTTTATTTCCATTGTATAAATACACTGCAGATATTTTGAAAATCTTCGAATGTTCCAATGGAAATTTTTCATTCAAACTTAATGAATGATCACCAACATGAATAACTCAGGTTATTGAGAACAGATTCTCAGGCCGAGCGACTTCTTTGAATTTATTCAGTCATTATTAAGCGACAGATTTCATAAAACTTTGAGTGTTTTTGTGAAGTCATACTGCTAATAGTCGCTTTGACAAACATCGGTGAGGTAGACATTTTGAGTTTATTGTATCTGTCAGCTTTCTTCCAACTTAAAACTCTTCCTTCAAGCAGAGAAGAATGATTTTTTGCCAAATCGACTACATTTCTATTTTGAATTGTCAGAATGGAGTAAAACATAGTTGTCAAAATACTTTATATCAGTCAAACCAATTTAGAACATAGTTTGGTTGGGTAATAATTTATCGACGAACTAATAAAATTTAAGATCACCAATCGTGGGTTCTGGCATAAAATTCATTTACCCATATGAATTAATAGTGTCGTGCCATTGAAGTAGAGGGCAGTTTGTGCTAAGATTCCTAATTTCTAATTCGAAATCTCTATTTCCCACACCTTTCGATCCTAGAAAGTAGGAGAGGGTTACTTTTGTGTCGCCCAAATGTCGTCTATAACTTATGTTCTCATTGTTCATAACGATCAATTGCCAAATAATTTTGAATAATGTTTTAGGTAGACAGCTTATATGGTCAAAATGAAGTGACAGTGAATTGGGGCAAAGGATTTTCGTAGTCTGACATGCTACTTCAATAAAGTATAGATCTCTAATTTAATTGTTGTTGGCTATATCAGTTAGAACACTTTTACCTGAAGTGGAAAATTCTCTTGGTAGACTTAGATTAGTTCCATAAACTAACTTTGCTGCATGACAAAATTTAACTTGTTTCATTGTCGATTTTGAACCCCAAATGATTAATGAAGCTATGAAGGAGACTTGATGTTGCCAGTGTAATATCTCTGTTATAATTGGATGGTTGGGTTTTATGAGAATGAGTTTGCTCCCGAGTAGTTTGTGAGTTGTTGGAACAGGTGATTTTCAAAATGAACTCTTTTATTTGTAATATTAACCGGCACTCTGTAACAATATATCCAATTGCCAACTAGAGGTTTTACTGTAGTTTCAGCTGAAGTGTCCTTTACAGGTACCGCTACGAGCCATCCCATGAATCTACCAACGCACGTGAAAGTATAACTGAAGTCATCCGAAATCAGCAATGGTCCCACAGTTTGGATCTTGATGTGCTCGAATCTGGTGTTAGAGTGACACAGATGACCTATTATGGAACTGGTGTGACATTGTACTTTGACTTTCTAGCATTTTTTGCATGCTAGTGTCCAGCTACGTACATCCCGGTCCATAAATGGATATAAAAACGGCTCACTGATTAGTTTGATCGTGGCCTTTATTCCAGGATGCGATATATTAGGCATTTTTTTAGAAAACTTTTCATCTTAGTGGCTTCGAAATGAGCAGTCGTGGTCGGACCATGGAACTATCGCACGTTGTACTTACTTTTTTGAATCGAGTTTCTTTAAGTGCCAAATTTGTGTCGTTAAATCCTAGCCTACCTTAATCATCATTTGTATTTCGCGATGCTTCTTGTTTGTGATAATCGATTACATTTGAGATGACAGCTTTTATCAACGTTCTTGATATCGCATCTGCTACTTTGTTATTATAACCTTTTACACACTGAATGCCAGGGGTGAATTGGGAAACGAATTCTAAATGTAGAGTTTCTTTATCTTTGTTTGGAATTTAATGCCTTCATGAGAGGCTTGTCATCTGTATACACGGTGAAACGGGTACCTTCTACTATGTGTCGGAATCTCTTCATTGCCAAGTAAATCGCTAACGATTCTCTTACGAACGTACTTTACCTCATCTGAGTAGGATTCAGTCTCTTCGAGAGAAATGAAATCGGTACACATGTACCATTCACTAACCGTCTCACTACGGCTCCCACTGCAATGTCATGACGCTTGATGGCGTTTCGCTCTTTCGTCGTACTAACTTTGTCTTCTTATATAACACTCACTTAGCCTGTATAGCCTCTTCTGTGAGATGGAATATCCGGTCACGTCTTTGCAAAGCGTCCGTAAATGGTTGTAAAATTATTTGACAGTTCAGAATGAATTGTCCACAACAGTTTACTAGTCCCAGAAATCTTCGCAACTTATTGCGACTTAGGTAGTAGATAGTCACGAAAAGTAGCAACTTCTGCGTCATACCTTGAGAACTTATCATGTGACCCAGAAATCGCTGTAATTTCTTTCTAAATTCACACTTCTCAGCGTCAGTACAGACACCCAGTTCTTGAAGTTTCATAAACGACTCTCTTAATTGTTTCAAGTGTTCTCCAACTGTAGCGCTAGCCACTAGTACGTCTTCGATATATGCACATACACCTGACAAACCTTTAATGACCTGGTCAGTGAACTGCTGGAAGTTTTGTGTTGCAGTAGTTAATCCGAGGATGAGACGCTTTCAACTGTTTAAAAATCCCCATCATGTTAAACGTTAATGTAAGAACGAAGAATATTAGTTTCAAACAATTCTCATCAATTTCTGAATTACATATCCAAATTAATTGGCTAGGTTTGAGGCAGAATACATCGCCATTACACTGTCTCTGACTTTAATAACATAGACAGTCTTTCTAGACTGTCCACAGCTTCATTGTTAGGAAAAAGCATTTGATCATCATAGATTGCAATCAATTTTTAATTTTATGTCTCGTAGAGTTCAAAGTCACTACTTTTTTCATAGCAATATCAAGCACTAAATGGTGAATCATCTCACCCTTAAAACAAAGTTCTTAGCTACCGGCTAGCATAAAGAAGAGAATACACTCCAAATTAATATCTATGTTTCACAATTAACATTTCAGCTGACCTATTGTGGTGTTTGCAGTAATTGACAGTTCCTTTATACACGATTACGCGCCAAACCACAGTTCCAAATACAGTAAGTTCGACTGTGCTTACAGAGTTCTCTGATTTGGGTCTTTACATGACTAGTAGAGCACGAATCGGACAGTTTATATAATTACTACCTAGTATATCGAATTTAATTACTTATAGCCATCATACCCAATCAGTCCCACAGTATATTAGCGACAAGACAACATACAACAGTTTGAAAACAATTCTCCCCATGTGAATTATCAGCCTAGATGTCTCGTACTCATTTAAGTTGAGCCCTTTAGTTACATACTTTTCACAATATTCTCACTTTTCTTCCATGTTTGTCCTCTACGCACTTTGTCTGCCAATGATGATCAAAGCTTTGATAAATATTACATAATAAATCCTGATTATCAATGGTTCTTAGCAAACTTTTCTGTAGACATTACCGTCTTTCAACGAGGCGTTGACTAGAATAGCAGAAAATTTTCTTTCGGAAAAGCTGAAATGTAAAAATAGTTTCGTAAGTTCAGTAGTTTAAAAGTCTTCTTGCGCAGTTTAGAAAGCACATCTTTCAAACACAGAATAGGATTTGGATAAACCTGATCTCACAGACACCGTAGTTACGACCTGCTATTTCGCACTGCCACACTAAACACAGAGTTTATCAGCGATGATCATCTACCTTATTTGCAATTCCTGATAAACGTCTAGGTTCTGACATCTATGACCCAAACATTATTCACAAGCTTGATTAAAATAATTAATTTACTTGCGCTCGCTTTGGGACGGTTCCAGGTTTTTTGTAATGGCCATTGGATCGTGGTATAGCCACTCGACTGCACTAATTCTTGTCAATTGGCAGCTATTTAAGAATTTGTGTATCCCGTTATTCTAATGATTACGTTTAGTTCAGGAAAGTAGTGCTCCTGGATACAGGGCCGGAGATCAGTTAGTTGGAACGTGGAGAACAATTAGGAGAAAAGCTTAATTCTAATGAGAGGAAGAAAGTATCCAAACTATGGGAACAATTAAATAAGTTGACTAATCGGTAGTAGAGATGGTGTGAGTAGACAGGAGCGTAGGCAAAGAATAGGAAGCAGAAATAATAAGCGAGATACAACAAGGTAATGATTTGAGGAAATGACGATAATAGCAAGTGGCATATTTGGAGATGTGCTTGAGATATAGCTAGTCGAATTGTTAGATGATCCTAATGTAAATATGTATCTATCAAGCCTGTTCTTGAAGCAGTAGTCATTTAGCGGAAACTTTAGCGAAGTTTTTTGATCATAATAGGTTGTTCAGCTGTCCAGTTCTATGGGAAGACTGGATAACATGCCTTTCCTGAATGTTTGTTCGGCTTTAAGGTGGATGCTGATGTTCTAACGACGCTGTCTGTTAAATAAGTCAGTAAC